CCGGTCAACGGGAGCTGCCGGGGGCGTTGCCTGGAGCAACGCATGGAGCCTTCTGCCCCCCGGGGCCCCAGGGACGTGGTTCCATGTGCCGTCCGCTTCTGAGAGCGCACGCGGCACCACGGGGGGAAATCCGGGCCGCGGGCATTAGGGTGCACCTGGGCACATCCTGTGTGTGCCTATGGAACCCAGCGCCTGGGAAACTTCCCTCTCCCGCCCTCACTAAGTGCAAAGTTTCCTCACCCCAATCAGAGTGTAGCGGGTTGTAGAGTAAGGGGGAAATTATCTCCCCTCCCCCGGCACTGCGGTGCTTATGACCCTCCTCCTCCAGCAAGGGCAGAGCAGTGCTGTAAGGAGGCTCCTGTGCTGAAACCCTGGTGCACTCAGTCCCCACCTTTGATGCGGGAAAGTTCATGAGAGAGTTTCCCACCCTGAGGCTGGGGAATGCCATAATTCCCAATGCGCCACTTTCCCCTCACAGGAGCAGCAGGGGACTTTCCTCTCAGGCCCTCGCTCAAAAACAAAAGCCAAAAAACCCGGTATTCAGTTGCCAAAGGTTTCCCCCACCGCCGCCACACCCCCTGAGGTAGCACAGCACTGTCTCCTGGAGGGGATTGATCCCGAGATTCTTTCACAGTAGGGCAGGGTGCTCGGGAGTCCAGCGCCCTTCCCATTCGCGTGGTTACCCTTCTTCCCTCACCCGCAGCTGGGCATTGCCTCTTCGGCCTCTGACTCCCCTCCCATTCCTCACCCCGACCCCCTGTGTGGAAATCAGGATAAAAAAAGGAAAGCTTCCAAAGGTGCAGAATCGCTCCCTGGGAGGGAGGGGAGCTCTCTCCCTTTCCTCTTCTGGCTTGAAAGAGCCGGGCTTCCTCAGCCATGTCAATTTCAATTATCTGAACGTACTGAACAAATTCCTGGGGAACTTGCCCTTAGCGAGCAACCAGTGGCCTCTGCAGTCCCTGAAGGGGCCACTGGGACAAAGGTTCACATGATGACATGAAGGAGGACTTCACTGAGGAGACGCTGAAGGATAACCCTTTTCCTCTCAGCCAAGATACACAGATATTTAAAGGGATCCAGATTCTAAGTCTTCCATCCCTCAGGGCTATGACAAACATTACAAAACTCCCTCAAGACACAGCAAAAAAGTGTTGGTCCTTCCCAAAGATTGACTCAATGGTCACTAAGTTTGTGACAAATCCTCTGGTCTGCTAGAGACTAACATTTCCCCCTCAGAGCCCAGGGACAGAAAAGGGGACTCTAACTTAGGGAAATGGTGTGAATTGGCCCTTAAAGGTCTCTGCATGTCCCTCAAGGTTCACCTTCATGTTTCCTCTTCTGCAGTTTCAAGACCTAGGAGCTTAACACCATCTGCCTCTGAAGTTGAAAAGAAGCTAGACCACCCCCTGTTCTTGAACAAATTTGTATGTGAGGCCACCAGAGAGACAATTAAGATTCTGGCTTGGGAGATGGCAGGAAACTTTGTCACTCATCACTTCCTCTGGCTAAAACTTCCTCTGGAGACTTTGGCTCTAAAGTCTGACTCAAGCACTTCTCCTTATAGATATCCTGAGCCAGAACATGAAGGACACAGCTGATTCCAAGATGTCACTTCCCTCACGCCAGCATAGAAAAACCTAGAACCATATTGGCTGTGACTTCTATAGGCTGACTGTCCTTTTCTCAGGTCTCCAGGAAGATCCATTGCATGTTTTGTCTTTCCAGATAGCCCACAGCCAACTTCCAAGTGAACAATGCCCACAGACCTGATAACTGATTAGCACAAGCCATGCCGGACTCCCTGGACTGCACCTGGGCTACTTCCTTTCCTCCCTCCAGAGATTCCTCGAGGCATATGGGCTCTCCGTGTGTCAGACAGAGTGGGAGCAAGCCATGTCAGACTAGTGAGTCCTATCCATAATAAAATATGGCTGTGCATTAGCGTTTTCTCACCTTCCTCACACTCTGCAATGGGTCCCATCTTTTCTTAACCCCCCCTTACTCACACCCCAGAAAAACTAATGTGATAATAAACCATATGTCCTCTGATGGACATCGGAGCCATCTGTCCATTTCCTCTCTCATTTACATTACACTGGCAGTAAGCCATCAGGCTCTTTGCTAGAGCTTGCACAAAGGACATGAAATTTGGACAGTCGAGGAAATCAGGACATTAGGTACTGCTAAGCAGGGGAGGGAAGAACCCAATACCTCTATTCAAGAGGTAGATTTGCTTTCACAGAGCAAGCCAGGTGGGCTCGAAGTGAGATTCCACTATGCCCAATTCTTACGACCTTGAGTTTTGACTCAGCACTGCAAAAGCCAGAGCGCACATGCTTATCCCGACAAAAAGCAGACATGGTAAGGTGGGTCTGGCAGGCTGCCTACGCAAGTGTTTTAAAGCATGTATGGTGGGAAGAGCTGACTTTGAAGAAAACCACCATGTGAGACCATGGAGTAGAAGAAAGCAAGCTAGAAAATCAGCAGAGTCTGCATAAAAAATGTCAGCAAAACCGGGGTTAGAGCATGACCGCTCCACTGCTGCTAATCTGTTTTCTTGCAGAACAGTTCTGAGTCGCAGCATTAGAGTCGGATCAGCATTTCTATAACAAACATCATTAAGGATTGGGGGCTTTGATTTTTTAAAATTTAGCCGTGAAAATTGATTCTGAGCTGTAACTTAGCATAAAAGGTCTGGATTTTAATCTTTATAAATGTAAAAGAGAAATAAATATTTAAGATGCTTTTTCACAGTATTCTAACTCCACAACAGCAAAACAAAATTACTAAACATACTATAGTTCTGAAAAATAAACAGTGATTTTTTAAAAAAACCAAACAAACATACATCATCTTACAGTCACTCAGACAGTCATCTCATTAAAACCTCAGAGGGAGACCAAGGTAAACCTTGTAATTGGATCCACGTGACATTACCAGTGCAGAACCCCCTTAACTTCCATGGACTCTGTGAAATATAAAGGACCATCTACGTGGATCAGTCTTGAGGATTGAGGCCTGTGAGTGCGTGGTGAGAAAGAAGCCAGCCAGATATGCTGGAGCTAAGCAGTGAAAGCCTTATGCATAAATAAAATAACTGTATACGTATGTCACAAACGTCTTATGAAAAACAGATATGCATAAGACACAGCGGCCATTGTTCAAAGATAATTTCACAGTTATAGTTAGCTATATTAATTTCTAACAACAAAACTCCTAAAAGCAGCCAACCATATTGGAGGCTAATTTCTTGCCAAACTTCATTTTTCAGCTCGAAGCACACGTTTTTAATTGGAGACTGGATAATTTCCTAACACAATAACCTCCCTCCCCTGGGTATTTCCCCCCCACCCCACACCCAGAGTAACATCATTTGTGGGCTGAGTCCTGCACTGATTTACCCTATTGCTGCTAATGGGATCGTGTGGGGTGTCAGTCAGTGAGAAATCTGGTCCCTGTAGCTTTTTCAATGGAATCTGAAACAAGGAAGTAAACACAATTCCCACTCATCCCTCCCCCAGGATCACTCACCTGGGTTAATGGTGATGAATCTGTTATCGGATGGATTTTCCTCTGGAAACCTGCGGTCATTGGGAAAAGCTTTTCTTGATGTTGTCTCTGGTCCCTTTGGGATTTGCCCTTCATAATGTTCATTTGTGAATGCTGGTGGCACTTGGGTGGAGGGAACAGGTTGGGGCTGAGTGTCTGTTTCAGTAACCCTCTCTTCTTCAGGACTCTTATCTGTTGGGAAAATGTTTTGCTCTTGACCAGGTATGGTTTTATTTCCTTCCTCCTCTACAGTTCTGTTAGGGGAAATGGTCGTTAGTGTGGTCTCAGTGTTATTTTGTACCTCGGCAGCCTCTGTCGCTGCACTCTTCTCTTTCTTTTCCGAATCCTTTTCTCCCTCTTCATCATGTTCCCTTTCGCCATCCTCACTTTCACTCTTCTCATCCTTTTCTCCTTCCTCTGCTCCTTCGTTGTCTTTCGTCAGAGCGGAATCACTGTCCGGTCCTGGGGAAGATAAAGCCTCAGGAGTTGTAAGCACCGGCCTAACTGACTGTTTGCTGGTAGAAGCAGCACTAGGAAGGCGGGCTGGCCACACAGTGCTAGGAAAGGAGGAAATACCGCCACCACTAAACCCAAGGCCGGCAAGCAATGTGCTGGTCACCACGGAGGCCACTGTTGCTTGGCTTCCACTGGATGAAGGTCCCATTCCAGTTGCCATTGAAACAAAGGAGAAAGGAAGACCAGAAGAAGTCCAGGTCGAAGATCCAGAACTGATGGGAGCCATGTCAGCTGAAGAAGCAGGAGAAGCTGTAGGCTTGAAGAGATCACCAGAGGGGACATGGGAAGAAAACACACCAGAGAGAGTGTCAGTAGGGGTCACTGATATGCTACCTCGGCTCTTTTTTCCTTTTGTTTTCTTTTTCTTTCCAAACACTCCATTCTGCCCATTATTCTGTTCAAATGAGACAAGTATATTTATACAAACTGGAGTCAAATCTACCCAGAAACAGCACAAGCACAAGCATTAAAAAGTCACATGGCAAATGACACAGATTAGGTCTACAATGCATTCAGGTGTGATCACAGACCACGTACACATTCTCGAGTTAGTTTTGATGTACACATACTGTACAACCCCATATGGGACCCTGGGTAGGTGCCACGGCTTCACTGCTACTGTTACTCGAGCTCGCTTTGATCTAGCTAGATCAAAGTGATCGCGAGTTATGTCTACACCAGCTGCAGTGACACCTCTGACTGCAGTGTAGACATTCCCAAGAGGAGTAAACGTTCTTGCATTTGCCATTTCCAAACAACAATTAGAGCAATATCTCATT